TCAAATTGTGTTGCTCTTCCTTTCCTTGGTTGGCAGCTATAGAGGAAAGGCAATTTAATGAAGAAATGTCTTTCTGAAATGTTTTATGCAGGGTTGAAAAGAAATATTTTTTTTATCAGCATACATGACAATTTCTGGAACCTTTATATCAACTGCTAGACTTCAAAGGAGGTTATGTAATAGCCCCTGAGATTTCTTCTAATTTGAAGAATTAGAAGAATTTCTAATTTCTCTATTTTCTATCTTTTCACTGTGGTCAGCTCCCTAAGTGGAAATATTGGGTACATATACATTTCCTTGATTCAGAAAGATATATGTAATATATAATACCTAATTAGCCATAAAATTATAGGTGTGAGAAACTACATAATTGCACTGCTAGATGACCTTGCTTGCAAGAGACATAAGTTAGTACTGGATTTAGTGTACATGGACTAGTACACTTAAGGTAATGGCATTATATGCATATTACTTTATGTTTTCAATTCTAAGAGCTATTATATAGATCAAGCACAGTAATTATTATGAAAAGTAAATGGGTTGCTAGAAATTCTGTCTATTCTCCTCAATAGAAATAAAGGACTCCCAAGTCTAGTACTGCTACTTTTGCTTGTCAAATCTGTATTTAAAGCTACATATTGAAAACCTTCATCTGGTCTCACAAACTCAACATACCCCAAAGGAACTCTATGTTCCTGATCCTAAACTCATTCCTTCTCTTACACATCCTATTTCAGTTGAAGGACATCACTTTCTACCTAGCCACTTAGGCTAAATGTGCTAGAGTCAGTTTTGACCCATGCATCCTCCATATCCACTTCCTTAGTTTTTCTACTTTGCCTTCTTTATAACTTTTGCTTTTTTTTCCTCCTCTCATTCTAATTTATACCATGAATCTCAACAGTGTTCAGTCTTTTCAGGTTCAGGGAAGACATCATAAAAATGGAACACTGAACATCCTCATCTAAGCACACATTTGTGTTAGATATAGGCCAGTGTTTTGGTTGACCAAAACACTATAGTGTTTACACTATAGTGTATATTTATAGTGGAGATCAGTCTATATTGACAGTAATGTGTACATAGTATCCATCAATCCATCCATCTGTTCACATCATGAATAATATAAAACTATTCCTTCAAATAAATTCCATACATGCATCTCAGAAAGTTAGAAAGAGATATTTTGGAGTGTAATATTAGAATCTAAGGATTTATGTGTGTAGCATGGAACAAAAACTTGGCAGCATAATGATTTTCAGTATTGATTGAAAATACTTACAGATACAAGACTGAGGAGATAAAAGGCTTTATAGGAAAGTAAGAATCGATTTTTAATATACAACATTGTTATGCAGAAATGGTTCTAATGTGTATTGATTAGAAACCCTTTAAGGATAACTCTTTGATAAAAGGTCTCTCTTATGAATAGAAGTCTTAAGATTATTCAAAATGAAACTTGATAATAGGCTGATAGCTTCTGTGCTAAATGAGAATTAAAAAGCCAAGAGCACAGTGTTCTCTTTAACGTGGATAAGAACTAATTCTCTTTCTTGGAATTTGATTTCAGTTTTCTTAGCTTGTTCTAAGTATTTCTCTTCAATTATGTGCAATGAATTTATAGGTAAGTGATGTAAAAAGGGCAAGCACTACCCTAAGTTATGTATTAAAATATTATACATAAACGGTGCGATGTCAATTGAACTACATGCGTATCTTCCTGACAAAGTCAGCAAGAAGGTAACTTTTCTCTGCTGATGATATGGTTTTGCTGTCACTTCTCAAGTTCAACTTTCAGAGTCACCTGAACTTGTTGAGTAATTACTGTAAGATAGAGTGGCTTATTATCAGCTATGCCTGAAGCCAAATTGTCAGTTTATGCAAGTACTCTAAATTTCTTATGGTACATGTCAAATTTTATTCTATCAGTTCAGTTTTTGACCAAGGAGTACAGTTTACACCTGACTCATCTTGGCAAGCACATCAGGATCTAATACTACTAAAAGTCTCAAGTACTTCATAAGCCACAGAGTAATAATCACTGATTTTTCTCATATCTGCCCTCAATATTTTAGGTGAACTTTGCCTCTCAAACACTCAGAGGCAAAGAACTATGAGATCTCACTTTCAGTACATGCTCAAGCTCTTCTGTAAACTCTAAAGATTTAATAAGGAAAATCCTGGTACAAACCAGAAAATCTTGCAGTCCCTTCTATAGGAAGGTAAAACAGCCTTTACCTAGATGATACTATAAGTCAGACGCTATAATATTAATAAAATTCTGGCTGAGACTAAGGACATTTGAAACACCAAAGAAGCCACATGTTAACCAATTGGATTTACTACATGTCATTTTTGTATCAAGCTAGGTCATGAGAAACTTATATACCTGAAGAATATTAATTTAGCTGCTCTATAAATTTCTTCACAAAATTGAAAGTTAACATTTGCTTGGCTTTTATTGGTTAATAAACTGGCCACAGGAAAATGTTTCTCTCTATACATATATAACTGCCATTTAAAATATTAGGGTGAGATATAACATTATACCATTATAATTTTTTTTTAATATACTAGCAGGAAAAAAAATCCTCTCTGGGATAGCTGATATGTTTCCTTATACCAGAGAATAAAACAAAACAAAACAAATAGCCATTTTTAAAGCTATTTTGGCCTTGGCTTTAGAAAACTTAAGACAAAATTTAAATGCTCCATTGTCGCACCTAGCCTCATTTAAACTTCCAACAAATTTATTTCCTCTGCTATATGACTTTTGTTCATTCTCCTTAAAGTGGTATTTAAAATGTGTCTTTAAGCTTAAGTAACCTCAGCTCCTTTTTAAAAGTAAAAAAAGGTACAAGTTCTTGTTACTCATTCAATTTGGATCTGAAGAAGGTGATGGATATCTCTTTTTCATTCAAAACATATTGATACTAGAAAAAGAGGGTTGCCAATAAAAAATTAGGTCACACAGGAAGTAGAACTAAACTTGTTGAGATATCACAAGTATAAACTTTTTCAAATTTATTTATTTTTTTATTCAACCCAAGAGGAGTGTTTTCCTATATCCTAGTGTAAACAAGGGTCGTTGTTTTAACAAATAGATTTAATAATTTTCAGATTTTTAGGAATGAAAAGAGAAGATAAAGAATATTAGAGGAGGATAATCTTCACTTTCTGCAACGTTTGCCTGTAATGATCAAACATGGCCAGCAAGTGCATAAATGTGTTTGCAAACACTGCATTCTAGAACTTCATCATGAGCACATGAGATCTTCCAAACCGTTTCTAGACTTCTCAGTAAGTGGGGGAAAGCAGAGATGAAGGAACAAATAGACTTAGTGAGTCACACAGTTGCTCAAGCTATAAACAAATTTGCAACTGAAAAGCAATTAGAATTCTACATTATGAACACAAGTAGTTTTTAACAAATCTGCTTGTTGGAGATGACAAGGTTTAACGACTAAATTTACAAAGACAAATTTGTTATCAGCATCAATTTCCCTTTTATATTGGGTTTGGGTTTGAAGAAGATGCACACGTTTACTTCTCTGAGAAACCTGTGTCAATATCCTTGTCTAACAGCACCTGGAAATTTGCCAGCGCAGAGATATTTTATGAAGTGTTACCTATCCTTCCTTAAATATTTATTTAGTACCTACTCTGTGTAAGGAAGAAAATAAAAGGGAAGAGACACTGCAAATTATATGTGATAAACTCTCAAATAATAAAATTATACCCTAGTGAGGAAAGAAGAACTAGTCATATGTCTTAGGATAAGATACCTATTATCTATCTTCTGTTTGGCCATCCATCAATCCATCCATCATCCACCCACCCATCCCTCCATTCTTCTATCTATTATGTGAATATAACTTGATGAATTTGTTTATCTTGTATTATTAATCGTTATCTCTGAAAATTATTCCCAAAGAAGAAAATGTTAAAATTTCCCAGTTAAGATGACATCCCTGGAGAATGTCTCCCAAAGTAATTCCATTGCATGGGGTGTGTGTGGGGGGGAACCTCGTGTAGACATATAAGTTTTGGCATTTTTTCTCAAAGTGTCAATCCTCTTTATTATTTGAATCATTTAGCAATGATGCTTCTGATTACAGTCAGGTGATGAGACACTAAGCATTCTTGGTGTTCTGAGGGGGATAGGGAATCCCACCACTGACAGCTGGGCTGCTCAGAGAACTAGACCTAAGTTAGCCCCATGCAGAGGCAGTAGTAATTATTTTATGACATGCAAGTGATATTAAAAACATGCCCTGTACATTATATTCGACTCTGAGCAGGGAGCTTGTAAAGGAACACATTGGACACTGGTGAGGGGGCTTTGCCCATGTATGCAGGCAGATCATGATTAGTTCATGATTAAGTGACACCTTCTCTGGCATAACTGTTGAATGATACACAAATGTCATGCATATGCCTGGGTGTTAGAGGTTCCAGGTAGCCTATAGAAATACCTTCCCTCTCTCAGATGCTCACCAGCTGTAACACATGGTGGACAGACCAAAGCCCTGGCTATAACCTAGTGAGTACTTTGTTCAGAACACCCTGCCTGCCTGAGATCCAACACTTGTCTATCTAGAAAACTCTTCTTTATTTTTCAAAACCAAGTTGAAGAGTTACCTACTCTGTGAAGCCTGTCCTTATTCCTTTACCTCCTGGCACATCAAATAACTTCCTCTTCTTTACTACTTGTATACTTTGGACATGTTAATAAATTAATGGTTAACCATAGATTACTATATTATAATTATTTGTTTTCTGACCGTCTGATTAGGAGGGAAACAAATTATATTAAAGCAAGGAGAAAATATAATTTTTTTTGAGACAGGGTCTCACTTTGTCACTTGGGCTAGAGTGCAGTGGCATCATCATAACTCACTGGAACCTCCAACTCCTGGGCTCAAGCTATCCTCTTGTCTCAGCCTCCCAAGTAGCTGTGATTATAGGTGTGCATCACCACATCTAGCTAATTTTTTCTATTTTTTTTTTTGTAGATACAGGGTGTCACTATGTTACTCACGATGGTTTCAGACACCTAGTCTCAAGGCATCCTCCCACCTCAGCCTCCCAAAGGGATAGGATTACAGACTTAAGCCACCATGCCTGGCCTAATTCCTACTTTTAACAAATATTCTTCTTAGACAGTAGACAAGTTTCAAGGTATTTTACTTGTATCCGTGCTACAACTTTGGAAAATATAACTCTAAACTGTATGATATTTTATAATTGTTGATGAAACTAATATAATACAGGTCTTTTTCAAAGCACACCTGATTCACTCATACACATACAGGCACACACACATAAGAGAAAACTACATATGTAGTTTTTCTTTTTCTTTCTGTTATCCAACCCCATTTCTAGTATATCCTAGTTAGTTGATCTATAAAACTCAGGCTAGTCTACACCATTAACCAGGATCCTAAGTTGCAGACATCACACCTTGGTAGAAATAAGGAGGTTCTCCAGAGCTAATCTAGCAAAGTCAATCTTTAAAGCAAAATAAAGTGTCCCAATGACATTCTGAGAGGCAAGAAATGGAGAATCATATCTTTTGATATTTAAGAATACTCTCAATATTTGAATCGCTTTGTGGCCATATATTTAATGAATACTCACAGACTTCACATAACTATTAAGGTTTTAAATATATGTGGACACTTTATTCTAATATGCTATGAAAGAACAAATAGCTCCATAGACTATCTGTACCTTGTCTTCAATCCTTCGGTGATTTCATGAGTAATTTCTGTTACCCTGACAACATTTGTAAATAAATGATTTACCCTAACTCTGATTGCATTGCCCTGGTAATTTGATGTTTTCTAGAAAGTCTGACATGGAGTTTATTTTAGCTGCATATTTTCTTTCTTTGGGAAATAAAGATTTAATAGATTGGATACCTAACATTGTATTTCTATCTCAATTATACTTAATATGTTAAGTAGCTATTAAAGAAATTATGTTGTCAACATCTTTATGAAGGAACTGGCAAGGCAGTAATATTCTGGTTTACTAATGGTGAAGTAATGAAAAAATTCTAAGTACTATCCAAGGACACATTGGAGATCGTGTATGATTGAAATTTTGCCTCTTGGCAGCTGTCAGTCTCATGTCCAGAATGCTGTGCCTGCAGTTTTAAAAAGTAATACATTATGTCTTGAGCTCTTCTTTCTTTTTAAAGGTCCATAGTAAAATAACATAAAACCACATGCAGAAAGACAGGCTACATGAACACACACACACACACACACACACACACACACACACAAATCCATCTACACATTCCCAAGTTAGAATATTTCATTCAGCCAGGGCCAACTTTTATGTTACTGTATGTAGAGACAGTTGGCCATCTAGATGCAACCACATGTATTTTAAAGATATATTGGTGCCTAGCACTTTGCAGCTTCAAATCACCATATCAGAGAAAATTTTAAATATATTATACATTTTTAGATTTCAAAAGATTCTAGAATCACCACTGCTTTTAGACACTCCTGTGTTTAGGAGGCAGGGATCTTAGGCAGCGGGGAATATTCTCTCCATAAAAGTTTTTGGAAGCTCTACCTGAAAGATGAATGTTACTACCAAAATTATTTTTATGCATATAAAATTACTTTATGTACAGAGGCTTTTGCATAATGGCATTTAACAATGCAGTAAAAGTTAAATTTTTTTCTATTTATGATTGATTCATACAGTATTCCACTGGAAATTGTTACTTTTTCCAAACATATCGGTGATGTAATTTACTTTTTCTGTTTTACATTTTCCAAAGTAAATCTAAATTCTAGACAATAGTGTTGGGATTGTCAAACTAATAAAAAATGTGTAGGAAAGTCTGCCAGATTTGACTGCATGAAAGTTGTACTTCAATAAACTACAGTTTACCTTTCTAACCAAATCTTTCTCTCCCTTATTCCGTAACACAACATTTCACGTAAGGCAGGCTATTTGCCTCTCTGCCCCTACTCCCCTTCAAAATAACCTGAGAACCCCTCCTACACTTTTTATGTATTATTCTAATCTAAAATGCCTTCTTTTTTCTTTTTAACCCCAAGAGCACCACTCATCCTTTAAGGTCATGTTTATGTATCATTCCTCCCTGTCCTTAACTGTTCATAGAGGCCTCTTCATTTTTAATGTTACATAATTGCTAAACATTTGAACATACTTTCAGCTGTATATTTTTAATTAAATCATCTCAAGCATATAAAAATTTTCTCGACCATTAGATCGTATTCCATCAGGACAGATTTTTTATTTTTTCTCCTCCATTTCTACAATATCCAGAAGAATATTCTGTACATATTTGATACTCAAAAATACTTTTTTTATTAGTTGTTGATTTTTTTTTTATTGAACCCAAGTTTCTCACATGAGTCAATGACTAGTAGAAATAAGGGCTCAGGAAAAGAAAGACTGACTCAAGTGAACATTTGAGGAAAACATTCCTTAAATTTCACCACAATGAAGGTCATTAAAAAACTATGTACATTATTAAAATAAGTTATTGATTTATAACTTTCTAATATCTAGAAATTTCTTATTAAGCTGTTGGCAACAGATGACTTTTATATGCAATATATTTAATTTTAGATCTATATGGCCTAGAAATCAATCCAGTTATGGAGCAACCAATAATGCTAATTTGGTTAAGAACATGGCATTTTGTAATCCAATTGTTTTGATCAACAATTGTTTAGCAACTAAACCACTAACTATGCAACATTTGATAGAGTTTTGATGATCATATGTGATATTTACACATCCTTAAATGGAGTATAAAGGTTTAGTTTCCAAGATCTGAAGGGTAAATGATTGACTTTTTAAAACTGGTTGGTTGAATTAAAGTATCCTTCTTAGGACAGAGAATCTCAATTTGATCAATTTCTATCGTATTTAACTTTTTTCAGATTAAGGAGATTCTATATAATTTTGCAAGACTTTGTCTTCTTCGTTCAAATCTGATCAAATAGCATCTTTAAAAATAGGAATTTGGTTCGATAATTCATTATAACTGATGCCAAAATAAATAAATTGGTTTAACAAGTATAATCAGAAAGTAGGTTCTAGAATGCATATGTCAAATGGAGAAAATCACTGGCGGGGCCCCTTCACGCAAGTAATTACTATACAATATACTAATCTAATTCATAAACGCAGTGGACAAAGAAAAGAAAATGAATCCTTAAATTTCTCGGAACCTTGATTCATTATAACCTACTGAACATTAAAAAAAGGAAAACTTCTCGGGTTCATTTATAAGAATGTCCAAAGTTATACTCCAGTGCAGTTCGGCCAGAAAACTAATTATACATTGTAATTTAATATTGATGGAAATTGTAATTTTTGATGGCTGGAAGTTGACGAGTAATGAAAATATCCTACTGGAAAATTGGAGTCAGAAAGATAGTTATAAAAAAAATATTTTATATATGAACTAGAACAGGCCAAAAAGCACATGAGGAATCAGACTACTTTTCTCAGCATGAGGTACTATGCGCATTAAACATTGAGGGAAAAAACACATATGCTCGATTGATAGAGTTTAAAGACACTAATAACCAGTTTATCATGGTTATTGATTATTTCCTGGTTTGAGTGAACAAGCTCTAAAGGTCAATTTTGGCTCAGTTGGGAATTGTTTAGACATAGAAATTCTTGACTGCGGAAGGGGAATTATTGCAGAAAATAGTAGTTTAAAAATAGTGTGTTCTGAGTGATGTGCATTTTGCAAGAATTACAAACAATGTATGGTATATAATATGTAGTCTGCTATATTGAATATGTTTTGTGGTATGTTAGTGTGGACTATTGTAACTAAGCAATATAGATTAACACTAAATCTGAAAACATATAACATTCAATGTTAACTTTAGTAATCTCTGGGTAAGATGAAATTGATGTTTTTGCATTCTTATTTTCACTATCTTATTATTTTCTACAATGCTTTTGAATTAATGAATATTTCAATTAAAATAAATAAAAATAGATCAACTACTTAATTTTCTATACCAAACTGGAAAATGGAAAGTAATAAAAATATACTTAGTGTATATTTTGAATGTGTCCCCTAAAACTTCAAGTGTTAGAAACTTATTTCTCTGCCCTCATGAATGGATTAATGTCAGCTCCATCCTCATGAATGAATTAATGTTGCTATAATGGAATGTGTTCATTATTATGGGAATAGTTTTGTTATAAAAGCCAGCTCTCTCTGTCTCTTTTGTTTTTGTTCTTGCATGTGTGTTCTTCAATGATTTTATGAAATAAGCAACGACGGCCTGTCACAGATGACTGTGCCAGCTTTGGACTTCCCAGCTTGTCAGAACCATAACTGAAATCAACTGTATTTTATTATTACCCAGCTTGGTATTCTGGTATAGCAAGAAACCAGGACTAGAGGAACATTAGCTTCAAAATTAGATGCAAAGAAAATTTATTATCGAACATATGTGAAGGAAACTTTAATGATCTATTAAGGCCAAAGACTCAATTAATCTTGATCAATGAAGTTTTTTTGGGGATAGAAAAAATCCAATGTTTTAAATATGTCATATTCTTGAATTTCTCATAAATTAAGTATTTAATTCATGACACATAATTGGTAATTTTTCTTGAAAAATTACTAAAGTTCTTCTGAATGTAGATGTAGAAAAAAATTCTTGAGACACAGGAACATTGTTGGGGACAGGTCTTACCAGTGTATAAAGTATTGTAAAGTTATTATAATCAAAACAGAGTAATGGTAAAAAAAAATAGATCAGTAGAAGAAAATAGAGTTCAGAAATAGACCCACAGAAAAAAGAGTTTTATTCTGTGATTAATATTGCCATAAAATTTTATGTCAGTAGAGAAAATATGGGTGGCTTATTTGGTAAAATTTGTTTTGAAAATTAGTTAGACATTTGGGGAAAAATACTTGGATCATAATCTCATCTCACACTACAAAATAAATTTCAAAAGTAATAATTTTTTTAAATAAAATGTACTATAAACACAGTAAACAATGGTGTTTTAAATCTTATAGTGATTAAGATATTTTGCATGGAATCCAGATGCCCTAAAGCAGGGGTTGTCAAAATGCAGGCCGTAAGCATATCGGCTACTATATCTGTAAAAAGTTTTACTGGGTCAGCACACTCATTCATTTATGTATTGTCTATGTCTGCTTTCACAATAAACATGGAACTGAGTAAATGTGACAGAGACCATATGCCTCACAAAACTGAAAATATTTGCTGTTTGGCTCTTTACAGAAAAAGTTTGCTGACCCTTGTTTTAAAAAGAAAGACTGATAACTTGGAATACATAAATACTAAAAATCTGCATGACAAACTTCACAAAATTAAAATTTAAAGTAAATTGAGAAAATATCTAGAGTGCCTATGACAGTATAAATTTATTAATTATAAGATTTTTCCCTTTCTTTCTTGGTCGTCTCTACTTCTCTTCTACTATCTCTTCTCTTCTCTTCTCTTCTCTTCTCTTCTCTTCTCTTTCTCTTCTCTATCTCTCTCTCTCTCTCTCTCTCCGTCGTCTCTCTCCTTTCTCTCTCTCTCTCTCCTCTCTCTCTTCTTCTCTTCTCCTCTCATCTTTCTTCTTTCTCTCTCTTCTCTCTTCCTCTCTATCTTCTCTCTAACTCTCTTTCTCTCTCTTTCTTTCTTTCTTTCTTTCGGGATCTCATTCTGTCATCCAGGCTGGAGTGCAGAGCATGATCATAGCTCACTGCAGCCTTGAACTCCTGGAGTTAAGCAATTGCCTTTTATCTCAGCCTCCTGAATAGCTGCAACTACAGGCATGTGCCACTATGCCTGGCTATTTTTATTATTTTTTTTTATAGAGATGGAGTATCACTATGTTTCCAGGCTCAGTTACTTGGGCTCAAGCAATCTCTCTCCATAGCACTCCCAAGTGCTAGGATTACAGGTGTGAATCATATAACCCGGCCAGAAGATCTTTTATAAATAAGAAAAGATAAATATCCTAAAAGAAATATGAGCAAAGCAAATTAGCTTGGAATTCAGAGATAAAGAAAATAAAATAAGTCACTAAACATATGAAAAAAAATTCAACTCCTATAGGGCTCAGAAATAAAAGAAAAACTTCAGTGAGACACCATTTACTATTTACTACATTAACAAAATATTTAAAACTTGAGCTCACTAAGTGTTGAGGCCATGGAGAAAGAAAAACTGTTTTATATAAGCTAATTTGACAATAATACATATCCAAATTTAAAACACTTGCACCTTTTTTTGCCAGCAATTTATCCTACAGATATTTTCTCACTAGTGCTCAATATTATAGTCTTGAGTTTTTGAACAAGTAGTAGAAGCAACTTAAAGAACTATGAAAAGGAAATTAGTTAAATATCTTTTGGTGCATTTATACAATGGCCTATTAGGAAGCTATTAATAAAAACAGATATAGATCTATATGTAACTCACATGAAATGATATACCAAACATTCTAGTATTGTGGAAAAGTAAAGTTCCCTGCAATACAATAATTGTAAAATAATCTTGTTTATATGTTAAAATACTTATTTACATGCACACACATATATACTTTCACATGCATAAAAAAATTACCTGAATGGTGACATATGAATTTGTTTACAAGGTTTACTTCTGGAGAATGGAAATGATTAATGAAGGGATCCTAGGTGGAAAATCTTTTATATTCTATAGGCTTTTGAATTATAAGGCTTGAATTTTTTTAATGTTATTTTTACTAATGTTACATAAGATTATTTCTGAAAAAAATCACTGTAGAATTTTGAAGTTTATCAATTGCAAAGTCAGTACTGCTTTCTACAGTAGTTAAAGCATCTAAGAGACTTGCTGTAGAAATTGTTTTGTTCATATTTACTTTAGCACTATATTTAAAAGGAGGTGACACTCAAAAGATTTGTACAACAAAACCTCCTAAGGTTACTTTCATTCATTTGAATTCTCTTCTAATAGAAATAGTATATATCTAGGTTAAGGTTGTTGTTTGGTTTTGGTTTCTTGCTATTTAGCTAAGAAAAGATTTGCCCTATAAGTGTGTGTGTGTGTGTGTGTGTGTGTGTGTGTGTGTGTGTGTTCATGTTAACTCCTTAGATAGCAAAAAGATTTTACACTTGATTCATTAGTAATGAAATCATGAGGGTTATGATTTTTGCTCAGCTCAGGTGTTGAAGTAAAAGGGTGGTTATCTAAACACCTAGATTTCTGAACAGAATTCTAATATTCTTTCCAAATTTAATGATAATGCCTTTTCAGAAAACATACCTGAAAATTTGTAGGACACAGACTCTAAAAATAGGCCTTAAGCCTTACCTGTTTAAAGGCAAAGAAAGACCAAATTAAGTATTCTGGGGCTTTCTTACACAGCCTTGTTATATTTGCTCTTTAGCTGTAAACTTTGGGTTTATTAATCATAAAAATTATAATTTAGCCATGCCTGGCAACAAATCATCTATTGATTCAATAAGGACGTCTTGCATTTCTTAGAATACTGTAATTAGATAACCAATTTGTAATTAAGCAAAAATGAAAGCTGACCTTTCTCCCTGAGATGATATAACACTAACCATATGAAGAAAAAAAGATTTATGATTCAAATGAGCCTACATAGAATTTAAGGGAATGGAACTATATCCTCTTGGAAACTATCATCTTTTCTCCTTGTCAGTAGCACAGATGTAACAAAATATCCAATGTGCTGGAACATAGGAATTTCAATTGTGCATTCATATGACATTCCAATGTGACATGCTGCTCTGTAGTGTAGATATTTGCTGTGATCCATCAACTATTAAAATTCTGTCAGTGTAATGGTAAGATTTCAGAGTACAGTGCAGAACCCTGCGCTGAGAAGCAAAAACAAATAACCAATTGCTTTGACAAAGTCAGCATTTTTACTTCTTCACAGCAAAAAGGGAATTCCTAATTTAGCCTAACAGTGCTCTCTCCTCAGAGTCTGTTCAGGTGATCAATGACAAAGTGCAAACAAAAATGCTCTTGCTTCCCTAAGTGGGGTTTGACACCTTTCCAGGAGCTCCAAAAAGGTCCCAAGGTCCAATAACAGAGATCTTTTTATCGTGCACAAATACCAGGATGATGGTTATAAACCATGTGAGACTTTTGTACCGTTTCCCAGAGTATTTTTCTAAATCTAAAAAAAAGTACACTGCATTCTAATTAGAAAATTAAATCTCCAAAGAAACAAACTTAAATGGCAAATTTCAGCAAACTATGCACCTATGTTTTCTGTTCTTCTCTCTCATGCCTTTACTGTTCCCCTTCCTTCTGTGCATCATTCAATTCTGTCCTACCAATTGTCACCCTTCCAGTTTACCCATTTATCCATCCTAGCCAAGAGTCCAAGGGCACTGTGCTCTACTTGAAAACTTTGCTGAAGCACTGTGTTTCTCTTCAGATGCAAACCTGATTGAGACCTTAGGGCCCTTCAAGTCAAGCCTGAGAGAGAACCTGAAGGACCCCACCTCAGGAGTCAGCATGGTGATGCCTCTAACAGTGAGAGTTCATGCATGGGATTCTCTCAAAATGAGAAAAGAAAAATGTGATAGAAAAGTTGCAAGCAAATTAGAACTATTAGCAACATATTTGAGATGTGGATATTGACATTTTGAATTTATTTGTAAAGTAGGCTCCATTACTGATAAAGGAGGTACACAATGGGCATTTTTTTAAAGTTTTAGGTCTCAGATGGTTTGTAAGTAAATGAAGTAAGTACCAACCTAAGCAATTTGTCTTATTTATAGCCACAGAGGCGCTCTCTACCAAACCCATTAGCATATTAAGTTGAATAAGCATCATGAATGTCGTAAAAATAGGTGATTCTCAATAAGTTTCTTATTTTCCATTTTCTTCTTATAATAGCACTCACTGTATATAATTGGGTTAATGTGAAGCATAATGATAAGTCTACTTTTATAACAATAATAATTTATTGTTTGTTGTTTGCCAGGAACTATTTTAAGAGCTTTAATATTTTATTTTACTCAATGAGCAAAGCACATAATTATTCAGGTATTATTATGTCCATGTTACAGATAAGAAAACTGGCTCAGGAAGTTTAAATAAATTGCCCAACACCCTATAGCTAAGAAGAGTTTTCTATCCCAATGAGTCTAATCAAGAACCCATGCTATTAATCATCAAGCTCCTCATTTATTTTTATCAGATCTATGCATTTTTTTTCTTGCTGTTTGATGGCTTAAGTATTTTTATATTTTAGTATCATAGAGTGGTTAATTTAACCCATACTTTGATGATGAAACTAAGGCCAGTTGGATAAAGTTACTTATGCAATATACACAACAAGACTGCTACAGAGCAGTTGATGGTATAAACTCCCTGTTTCCATGACAGTAGTTTTTTTTATGTTAAAGATAACAAAAGTGGTGGGTGGCCCAGTCTCTTCTTTTTTCCAGGAATCCGCCCCAGCCATAAACATTACAGTTTAAACCTAGTTGCCTAAGTCCAAATATGATGCACAATCTAGTCATGGGCAGTGATATAATATCAGTGAGATGAAGCCACAGCAAGGAATATCCAAAGGGACAAATTAAAACACGCACACATACACACACAGACACCCCTCCCCCCATTGCTCTAGGAAGATGTGTGAGAAATAATACATGCAAACATAGGGCTGAAGCTGTGCTTGGGTAAAGAGGGAGGTATATTAAAATCTTTGCTAATGTCCTGTGTTACAGTTTAAATAAAGACCCATATAATCTATCTTCCCTTCTAACTTCTCTAGAAATACTGAAGACTCTTACATACTTAGACAAAATATTCCAACTTTGCCAGATGTGCATTCCTTTTGGCCACAAAGAGATAATAGTGAGCTTCAGTGTGAGGACTAAAGATTAGTGATCTGTAGATGAACACATTATGTTTTTTAGAAGGTGGTTGTTTCCTTCTAGAAAGTCTCCTCTTTAGAACTTGGCAAGACTTCCTTTTTTCTTTGTTGGCTCAGTCTGCGCTATGCTATATATTGGTTTGGCAGCACATATTGAATTTTACCTTATGACTTGGACAGAAAAGTTTAGCCTGGATATGTTGCATATTGGTATGATTTGCAGAACATAGACCAGATGAACTCAGAAAGCCCCCCAAGGTGTGTAAATAATAGTAAATAGAGGGATTTGCAAATTATGGTCCAAAATTCTGCTGTGGTAAGCTACATATATTTTATTCTTTAAATAAAAAACAAACTATTGAAGTGTCAAGAGCAACATGGAAAGTTCCATATTTAAGAAACAAAATGGACAAAGCCCAAATGTAAAAACCAGATTCTCTGATCCTGAGTCCAGGAAACGGACATCTGCATATTTAGCTCCCTGGTATTTAATATGTGCTACTGTACTTAAACTGATCTTCTAAAGGGGGTAAAACGTAGCATTGTTTCTTCTTTGTACAACTAACACATTCAATAATAATAAAGATAATAGTAATAATTATGCATAGCATGCCATGCTTTCTACATTATTCTCACATATGCTCTCTTATTTGATTCTTCCAAAAGCACTGTTAAATATAGCGACAGAAAAGGAAACAAAGGCACAGATGAGGAAACAAAGGCATTCCCAGGAGAGTCACCAGAGACCCTGTCACACAACTTCCAGTCTGGGTACTTTTCCCTGTCTCGCACTCTCATGAGTGTGTTGCTATTGAAACCTCTATCTTGTGCTTCTATAGAGCTAGAAAGCCTGGAAGACCTAGACAAAGATAAATGGAGTCATTAGCCTCCAGTCTGGATTCTAATGTAGTTTGTCATACTTTTCACTTGAAACTGATGCAATATTGTGCCACGAGATGGAAAATCTAGCAAGTAGAAAATAGAGTTTGAATATATTTTTTTGGAAGATATTTTCCACTACAGAAAAAGAGAACAGCTATAGTTAGTTAATAGAAACAATATTTATCCACCTAGCTATTTATCTACATCCATCTAGTAGTAGACAACTACCTTCATATTTGAAATATATCACTTCAAATCAACACTTGGCCATGATACCTAAAATTGTCCCCAAAGTACATTAAAATGCGGCTAAAGAAAACAAAGGATAACAGAAAGAGAAGAGAAACAAAAAGACTTTCCTTTTACAATGAATTTACTTGTCCAGAGTTCTGAGCTCCTGCATGAAGCAGAAATTCCTCGTTCATAAGAAATCACAGGCATCAGCTTGGGAGGTTGACTGCTATTTCCTCCAATAAAGTTTTCTCACTATTTGTCTCTCTCGCTCTCTCTCTTTCTTACTCTCTCTATCTCTAACTCCCTCTTGTACATGCTTTTGTAGAATTTCAGGAACAGCTTTTTATCTGGAGAAAATGGCTGCCTGAGCGAGTTACAGAATATAATAAAAGCTTTACCCCAAAGCTTCTATGCATTCCAAAAGCTTGCACTTGGATAATAGAAACATTTAGCCTCAGGTGACTGAGAACACTTACTGTTGGTTGCATAACGTATGGCGGATGAGGCATCCATGAAGTGCTCTGGACCTATGCATCAAACAGCATTTATTAGCACAAGGCAATCACAGAGAGAACTTGGTTCTTGCGTTCAGTGGAGTCACACTAGGTCATAAGAAAGTGGAGTCCATCTGACTTTACAGCTAATTGGTGCTCAAAACCAAGGATAAAAAGGGAATTCTTAGACTTGATTAATTTGGTCCCTGAAACATGGTAAAATGTAAAGCAACTTCTCATTTCACTGCAGCTGGCTTCAGTGCTCGCACGGATCAAGCTAAGTCTTGGAACATATTTTGAGGTTGATGTTGAAGACTAAAGTCTTAGAAGGCCTCAGAGACCATTTGGAGGTCAACTCCCAGGGGATGCCCTGGGAAGTAATGAAGGAAGCCATAGTTGACTGCTAAGACTTCCTCTTTTTCTGTCACCAGTTATAACTTCAAATGCTCAAGTGATCTCATCTTGGAAATATGTCCAAGTGGTAAAAGTTATGGTAAGAACTAAAGAGATAAACCAGAAATTTGGGGGAGTGACTTGGGTTAAACCCAAGTTAAGCAAGTTTGCAATTTTTTTTTCCTCTCTTGGTAATTGGTATGACAAATACAAATGAGTATTTGAGCCAGCCAACTGTTCTTATATGTACCATGTGTCAGCCAAATGAGAAAGTCAGCCTTTATAAGCTGAATGTCACATAGAGAACCCCGAAGACTTTGTTTTTCAATATACTCATATCAACAAAATTGCCAATGCACTTTGGATTAAAAAAGCAATAGTGGTGAAAAGAGAGAATCAGCAACATAGGAAATTGCTCTAATCCCTTTTTGAGAAAAGGGAGCTGGAGTTAAATTCCACTTATGAGCCCTCCCAAGTAAAATCACTTTTCTGTGGATATTTTATTCCTGTCACCAAAGTGCTCTACACTGTGGCTCCATGGGTGGTCTTGGCTCAAACAGAGGCCAAGATTAGGAAAAAAAAAAAAAGAGGAAATACAAACACACACACACACACACACACACACACACACACACACACACACACATTACAACCAGACAGGCTTGTGGGAAGTACAAAAACTGGACAGCACCTGCACATGTCCTCAGGGGTCCCAAGGAAAGGCAATTAAGAAATCAGCCATTCGGCGACCCTCTAATCCAATTCAAACAAAAGTCTATTCCATTCGCCCACGGATACGTTTCAAGAGTCTGAGTGCAGTAAAAGAATGAAAATGATCTGCTGCAGGGGGAATCAGTTAAGGGAAAATACATATAGTCTCAAGTTTGATGCTCTGACAGCTGGGACATCCTGAAATGTAGTGGCAGAATAAGGTGAAACTTCACCGAATTAGTAACAGTCAGCAACATTACAGCTTTACTCATTGTACAACATCCACCCCAAGGATCTGCAAAATATAGAGAAGCACATGCATGCACACACTTTCACTCTCTCTTTCTCTCTCCAAACTTTTAAAAAATGACACTAGACTCTTTCTACATGCAGCATTTATAGGCATTTTCTAATTAGAATTGAAAGACTTGTTTAAAGAACAATATTAGGTAGAGAACAGCAGGGAGTAATATCACATATTTGATAACTCAAAGGAATACAATTCAAATTTTTTTTTTGAGGAAGAAGTGTGACTACTTCAATCCACCTGTGTAGTTGGAACTAACTGGTTACGACATCTGGTTTAGGACACACACGGAGGCTCAGATTTTCCAGCATCTCAACATGCGGAACCCCTGAGGTCTCTTTTGGTTCTGGAACTGAGAATGAAGTAAGGATAGAGAGTAGAAACAATGTTTTACCACTTTGGTAATCTTCTCTATTTCTTGGGAAGTATGATTTACACATCTGCCTGTGTAGCTTTACCAGGGACAACCAGGACAAAATGAGATGACAATGATAAACTATCCTGGTGTGAGGGAACGAATTGCTAGAAATGTGCTTTTAGAAAGGACACAATAGGGAATATGAACAACCAAAATAACACACAACAAAAAAATAATTTCCCAGTGGTAAGAGAGCTGTGTTAATAATGTTGGTTGGAAAGTAGCGTAATCATGAAAACTCAGCGGGAAGAATGAAAAGCATAGTGGATCTTAGTATTCAGTGAATTGATGCAAACAGGCCTTTGAAAGTATAGGCTGATTGATAACTTCAGCATTATTGCATTAAGATGTGACTCAAGTATATAAGGAAAATTTTTCTTTTAATTCCACCTATGTCCTTTTTGCCTCTAAATAGTGTATTACTGGCAAGGAAAGATCTCTCCTGAGGTGCAGGTAAATTGGACATACCTGGTATGTGGAGACAGGGGAAGCAGCAATGAATGGCGTGATAGATGTCTGTGGAATCATGCGGTTGGTTGCAATACTGTACGGTGAAGAATAAAATCTGCAAACAGAAAACAAACAAAAAAAAAGAAGATTCATGAAGCTGCTGCATGCCTGGCCGCTAATCAAATGCCATCAAGCACCTCTGGGAAAGACAGATTTCTACCCGCATGTTTTTCCACCAACTGTTAACAGGAGCATCCAGGAGATTTACAGTATCTGATTCCACTAAAAGAAATAAATTGTTCTGAACAAAATGACAATGATGAGTCATCTTATAAAATTAGCCACACAAAATCTCTCTCTTATGCCAAGTGAATGAGTCTTTAACCAACAGAAGAAGAAGAGCCATAGGCATTGCTATTTTTTTTTTTTTAAGGGCAATGTCATTTGAAAGCTCTTTGAAAGAAAGGTAAAATAAAAACACTGAGCTGTATAAAGGTGGATGATGTTACACACACAGGAATTGCATCTACCCATTCAGGAAATAAGGATCAGTTTCTAGAAAGTTCTGGATATTTTGTGCTAGGCTTGGGCCCATGCCCTCATGCAGAAAATACTTTCTCCATGAAAAGAGAAGAAAGAGGATAATTTTTGTTAAGGTTGGAACAAGAATGTTTTTTGATTTAATCAAGGCACTGGTGGAGATATTAGATCTGTATGATATATCCCTGTAGACTTTGTGAAAAGCACTTAATTTTCTAATCGCCCAGAGCCCTTAATTGAACAGTTATAGACAGATATCAGATGGGGTCAGGAATTCCCAAATTAGAAGAGGGATGGATGATCCTCCTGGAGATCTATTAAAGGGTTGGTTCTGGATATGAAAATAGTGGCAAGCTCATCTCTGCTCAGACTATACTGTAGAGTCCATAAGTTACCTAATGTTCAAATTCTTCAGCTGAATTTTAAATCATGTATCCTGCTTCATGTCTTGCTGATAAGTGAAAGGCTAGAGTGGCCAGCCACAGAATTTATGAAACCAGATTGCCTGAGATGGAATATGGAAGTGATGTGAAGATAAACTGGAAAAATGTCTATCAGGAATAATGATATTATTACTTTACTTTTCTGTATTTTAGCAAAACTTAATTTTTAATAGTATTTTTTAATAGTATAATTTGAGGGACAAAGTCTTCATCAAGCCTCATGGTCACTGATATTTTGAGTAGAGAATTCCATGAGTTATTTTTCTAAGAAAGCCTTCCATAAGACTCTCATTGAATGTAGAATATCTAGGATTTAAGGTTAGCAGAATGCAATGTTCAATTTTGAGTTACTATAAGTCTTCAAGCAGCAATTATGGAATTATAGTACTAAATTTACTTTATCTCTTAACAAGGAGTTTATAAGGGCATACTCTTTTGATTAAAAAAAAAGTAAAGATAAAAAAATTACCTCATTATACAGTACATCCTTATTTCCATACACACTGGACCCCTAAGTTTATAGTTGTGAAGTTTAAGAAAAATACATTGACTATACATCTATTAGAATGGCAAGAAAACAAAAGATGATACTAAGTTAAAAAAAAAAAACAATACTAAGTGGTGACAATAATGCAGAAAAAGTAGAACTCTCACACATTGCTGGTGGGAAAGCAAAACAGTATGCAATTTCTTGTGAAGTTAGACATACATATACCATATGACCCAGCAATCCCACTCCTCGGTACTAACTGAAGATAAATAAGAACTTTTGCTACACAAAAACCTTCATGCAAATGTTTATAGCAGCTTTATTTGTACTTGCTCCAAACTGGAAATAACCCAAATATCCTTTAACTGAATCCATGAATAAACTGTGGTACATCCACACAATGGAACACTACTTAGCAATAAAAAGGACATAACTACTGATACATTCAACATGATGAATCTAAAGTGAATTACGCTAAATGAAAGAAGTCTGATTCAGAAGGCTGTACACTATATAATTTCATTGTATTGCAATACAGAAAAGGCAAAACTATAGTGGGATTGGGGAAAGGGCTGATTCCAAAGGAGCATGAGGAAATTTGGAAATATAGAAGGGCTGTGGCTATTCTATATCTTGATTGTTGTAGCAGTTGCATGCTTGTGTCTGTTCTTCAGAATCATAGAATTGTACCCTAAAAAGAGTGAATATATTCCATATAAATTATACCTAATTAATTTTACTGTAAGAAAAAAAGACAGTTACTATGTAAGAAAGCTTTCATTCTTCCAATTTAAAAAATTACTGAGCATTTAATATGTATAGAACAAAGACTCTAAAACATGCTATAGAATTTCTTTATTTATTCACTTGAATTGTAGTTTATTCTTACACTAATCAGCCTAAACCCTCCAAAAGCTTTCTATTGCAGTGAGAACCAAATTTGAACTCGTACTGGCCAGTGCAATCAGGTAACTTTCTACCTCTCTGATATGTTTTTTCCTACCCCTCTCCCCGCAGTCAACCAGAATGCAACCACACTTACTCTCTTCTGTGCCATGATCTCATCATTCTCACTCCCATCTATTCACTGAACTTGCAATTCTCTTTACCTAGAATGCTCACTTCTCCAAATCTTCATGCGGCTGCCTCTTTTTCATTTTTGGTCTCACTCAACTATCTCAATTACCAACTGCCATCTCTGCCCCAATTGCTCTTAAACCCTGTATCCTAATTTTTTTTATTGCTATTATCACTATCTGAAGTAGTAATTTAAAAAAAAATTCTCTATGTATGCTATGGAATGTATGTTTGTGCCCCCCCCAAACTCATATGTTGAAGCCCTCATACCCCTAGTGTGATTGTATTTGGTAATGGGGCCTTTAAGGAAGTAATTAAGGTTAAATGAGACCATAAGGACAGGACCTTGAAGGGATATAATTAGTGTCCTTAAAAAAAGAGACACCAGAAAACTCACTCTGGTTGTCTATCCTCACACATAGACAAACTAAGCCAAGGCCATGTGAAGGCAAAGCAAGACTGCAGCCATCTGCAAGCCAGGAAGACAGCCCTCACCAAAATTGGCTAAAAGCTTGATCTGGAATGTCTAGTGTTCAGAACTGCAAGGAGATAAATTTCTGTTATTTAAGCCACTAAGTCAATGGGTCTTTGTTATAGCACCCCGAGCTGACAAACACAATGTAGTTATTGACTATTGCTCATTCTATAAGGTCAGCACCAAGAAGGTTGAGGAGATATCAGCCTTGTTGCCTAAAACAGAACCTATAACTACATGTCCAATGAATGAATAAATGCAAAACAGCTTAAGGAATTCAGTGCTGATTATAGTACAGGATGGTCAGTGCCAAGATGACAGGAGAATGGAAAATGGGTCCCTGAAATGGGTAGGAAATCAAGAGACAAGAGCCCTGAGATGGACAAACATCACATATTTGTAAATGCTCAATAGAAGCTTAACTAAGGACCTGCTTTCTGAGCATGCAAGGACATTAGTAACTACGGAACATAGTTCTTTCCTATGAAAATCATGGTTGGCATTTAAAAATTCCCTTTAGGTCTTATCTTTGACAGATGTTATTTATGAGGCAATGAACAGAATGGCTTATTTGGGGCTCACAATGACATCAGAGGCAACCAAGACTACTCAGCAAATAGTCCTTCTCAGACATTGTGCAGTGGTTTAACTTCTGGTAGAAACCCAGGTTCAGCGTCTTATACAGACAGAGCAAATTGCACATCACATTTTAGCGTGGCTGATCTGTTTTGTAAAAATGTACCAATTGGAGTATTAGAAATGAAAGCAATAAAGATTGGATTGACAGGCAGAGTTTACAGGAAATTCTGTGGGGAAAACAGAGAGCAGAAACATAAAGAAACCAGCCAAGTAAACTGATACTCGCAAAGAGAACCCTTGGGGGAAAATTTAATGCATTTTTGGTCTATCTGCTCTAATCCTATCCATCAAACAAGAATTATATTTCATAGTTACCAGCAAGTTCCAATACTGCCACTCAAGTCAGAGTCATTTACAATGAAAAATATACTGGGAAGAATGGACTCAGTGCAGTGTCTTGATCCCCTAATTCTGGTATTCTGAAATAAGCTCTTCTCAAGTCCAAACATAAACCAGATGAATTTACAGGAAAGCCTTGCTTAAACCATGACAAGGGATGCTACTATTGCATCTGAGGCTTACGGGTACCATATCTAAAGAAAATACACAGGGCCATACTCCAAAGAAAGAACTGCAAAATGTGTTCTCCAATCTTGTAGCTTTTGCTCAGTCCCTGCCATGTGTCCATCATGGGTTTGAAAACACTTCCACACAGGCATCATGTTAAAAAAAAAAAAAATAGAACATCCAAATAAATACTTCAAGCTGAGGTGTCATGTTATTGTGGAACAGAAAAGAGAAAATTGATGGAACTTTTTAGCCATAACAACAAAATAAGGTAATTCTAAACATGTGTTTGTATTTGGTAACATACATATTATGCCTTGTAAATGTTATTACAGAAAATGGGGAGTGAATTGTTTAATAAACTATTTTCCTGGGAATAGTTTTACTCTCTTAAGAGTTATTTCTTTGCCAAGATTCACATAGCATTATGTGTATACCAAGTGCCCTTTTTATCCTTAGCCCTTAGCACAGTGGTTCTAAACCACAGGTGATTTTGTCCCTCAGCCCCCAGCAGACATTTGGCAATGTCTGGGGACATTTTGTTTTTGTGGGGGAAAAAGAATCTCGTTATATTGCCCAGGCTGGTCTCAAACTTCTGGCTTCAAATGATTCTCCTGCCTTGACCTCCCAAAGTGCTAGCATTACAGGCATGAGACACATGCCCAACATGGAGACATTTGTAGTTGTCACAACTATGAGAGGAGGGGGAACTACTGGCATCTAGTGGGTAAATGTCTGAGATACTGCTAGACATGCTACAATGCATAGGGGAATTCCCACAACAAAAATGATCTGGGCTTAAAATGTTAATAATGTTGAGATTGAGAAACCTTGCCTTAAGCATATGAGCTAGTTACCTCTGCAGAAGTTTCTTTCACACGAAAGAAATACCAAATGCCAAAGTGGTGAAGAGGAGTTAACTAAATATGATCTATAGAACTCTA